CCCGAAGGGTCATCTCTGAGTCGAACCTTCAGAGAGTTCATTTGTAAGCAGACTGACCGGACTGCACCCAGCCAGAGAACTGTACCACCCAGGGACAGCTGCACGCATCCGGCAACACAGGCTGAACCGCCTGTGCCTGCTCTCTCGAGAATTGCGTGCCAGTGTTAAACTGTGAGGGTGTTCTGATTATGTAAAGGCCGGGTAAAAGGGATGTGCAGCCTCATGGCCCTGAATTTTAAGTGCCTGCTCTCCAAGTCACTGACTTCACTTAGCTACATAGTCTAAGGCAAGAGGCTTTCTTTGAGCCTCACTTACCTCCACCGAAAACTGGACCTACGGTACCAGTGACTAGACTTGATGGAAGTATGGAAACGAACGTATGCAGAAGTATCAGCTAAGTACCCGACATAGGTCCAATGGGAGTCGTTGCTCTCGTTATCCCTAGTGTGCACTGGGAGCTAAGTCCGTCCCGTCGACTAGGCTTGAGGGCAAGGAGGGTAAAGGAGCAAGAAGAAGAGTTGGGATGACCTGCGGCCATGCATTCCCTCCTCTCTTGCCTCCGCAGCCCCTCCACTCCCAGCACACAGTCGCCGGAGTGAACAGCCAGTAAATATAAGTTGAATTAAATAGGGCGTTCACTACAGTCAAGAGCCTTTCAGGATTTTTGAACCCGACTTGGACAGCAGTCCTTGGCAAAGCGTCTCCCTCCTTAGACAAGAGCACTGGGGAGGGAAGAGTGGGCTGCAAGCAGTGCTCGTCCTTGGACGCCGGTCACATACAGTTGTGTTTTTATGAATGTTCTTACATTTTTACTACAAAGGTAATACGATGAGGCTTCAGAAGTTCTAGGGGTTGGGAGGAATCCATTCTCTGTTAATTCCATTTTTCTGCAGATTTGTTGAGGCCCCTCCCCCATCCATGTTCATTTTAGGAAATAGAACTAAGCAAAAACGAATAGAACCATGCTTGGTCTCAGACAGAGGATTGTGGCTGTGTGCCGTGCAGTCGTTTCCACCTCCTGTAGACCCGATAAGAGGCAGACCGCCCCACAGTGTTTCCTGGGCTGACCACCTGTCAAGAGGAGCGAGCTCAGTAGGCCTTTCCACCCGAAGAGCTGATGCAAACTTAGGCACTGAGCACAGGACCATTGAGCCACCAGGGTTGGTTTGTTTTTTTAACTCATCCTACTACCAGACTTTTAACTTGTTTTCAGCACTTTTGTGTTTGAAAACAACATTGCCATGAAAAGAGTTGATTTTTTTTTTACTGGTTTTATAAAACCTCCCCAATTTAATAATTAACCTCCCCCTGCTCCCTTTCCCAGACTTTTCAATGAACCTAACAGTCCGTTTGTTCAGTTTGTGCGAAACCGACCTTCTAATTCAGTCTGCAAATCTGCTCTCCGCTTTGACTTTGCTGTCTCACGCGAGCTCCCTGCTGGGCTCCCGTAGCCAGTAATGGGTAGGAAGTCGGCGTTCTTGAATCTGGCCGCTCGGCTCACTGGTCTGGAGCATGGGGCTCACGGGAGCAAGGGCATAGAATTCACTCCATATATGCAGGCCAACGAGTTCAGTATCCACAGATACTTTTTCTAGCTTCACACAGCTGTCCTTTAAACACGAGCTGTACATTTCAACAGGACTGGGCAAAAGACCATGCATGGATCAACACAAATCTATCATCCCTGCTAGAAAGACTGACAGTGTGCCAACAGTTTCATCGTCCCCTGGAAGACATTGTAGAAAAATCTCCATGTCAAATCACAGAAAACTGGTGACCTTTTCAAGGGGCAGCGAATACTATTGAGAAAAACGATTGGCTGGACTCAGATGAAGTAATTGTTCATAAGCTTAGCCTGCGAGGTCCCCGATGTTCCCATGTGGGACTAATCGGCAGCAGGTTTCGCATTGCTGATGTGGGTGTTTTCACCGGCCTTTTCTGTTGCAGCCGACACTGCTCTTGGCGTTGATGACGCGTATGACGAGAAAGGGTGCCAGTGTGATGTATCCGTAGAAGACCTCACCCCGCCACTTAAAACGGTCATTCGAGCCATCAGGTTGGTAAAAAAGAGTGATAATACAGTTGATAAGAATGATTCACAGACATGTTATCAGTTATTCGAATTTCTGTGTTGATCAGTTCTTTTTCCTTCAGGTGAGTCTCCTAGAATAATCGCGTCCCCTTTTTCTGTTCGTCGACAGGCCAATTGCATTCTAAAATATGTTTAATGCAAAATTCTGCTGTGTTCCACACAAAGTATGTCACAAGAGATGGGTGACATTTGAAAAGCTAAACCATTCCCGAGAGATTACATGACAATTGCCTGATTATATGAATTTGCTACTTTAAGGACTTATAGATACTTATAGATACAATTAGATGTTTTTTCATGACTTGAGGATCTAATCCATGTGTTGTATTTTGATTTGTTTTCACAAAAACTTTAGGTTATTTTAAAACACATTGAATTCTAAAAATAGAGAACAAAGTGCTTTGCTGGGGCTTTCTCGTCTAGGTGGGTAAAATGTAATTGTTAAAATCTAATCTTAATACACGCCCTCTGCTGATGGCCAAAAGGTAAGAGAGTCACTCAAACCAAGTTACATTTATATTCTCAGAACAACGACGACTACCTTCCCACCTGCCCCCGAAATAAAAATGAAGAAAAGAAAAGAAAAAATGCTAAACGAACTGCAGCCATTCAACCTGCCCAATGTAATTCCTTGGTGAGAACTTGTAACTATCAAGGAAGGTTGGGTGATTTTATTACAAAGAAAGGTTGATCTTTTGGGCTTCTTCTGCTTCTTACTGAAGAGCCAGAGGAGCATTTAAATAGCTGAACAAGATTAGCTATTCAAATACTACTTGTAATCCCAATATCAGTATGATTGATTACTGTATATACTTGCGTATAAGCCAAGCTTTTCGGCACATTTTTTTAATCATTTTATTGGGGGCTCGTACAACTCTTATCACAATTCATACATACATCCATTGTGTCGAGCACATTTGTACATATGTTGCCATCATCAATCCCAAAACATTTGCTTTCTACCTGAGTCTTTGGTATCAGCTCCTCATTTTCCCCTCCCTCCCCTCCCCCTTTAGCACATTGTAAATGCCGTTTTTTGTGGTAAAATTAGGTGCCTCGGCTGATATTCGGGTCGGCTTATACTTGTGTCTATACGGCACTTCCTGCCCTTTGTGGCTGGTTGTTTGGCGTCAAGTTAGACATTGCTGTGCTTTCTGACTGGAGTCATGGAGTGTGTGATAAAATATTCTGTGAATTTTGGGGGGACAAAGAAAATCAGGGTATGATGGGAACTCCAGAACTCCAGATATGTTTAAATCATCTGTAACAGCATCCTAAAAATAAGGAAATCCTAGTTACTTCTCATTGGACGCTCAAGCAGCAAACTCTGTGTGGGAGATCCCACTTTTCTTTCTGCCTGGCAGCGGTCCAGAGAGTGTCTCCAGTCTTCTCATAGTTGCTGATAGCACTCCGGCCTTTTTCCCAGTGCCCGGATTTGGACAACAAAGTACACAGCCACTAAACCCCTTGCGAACCTCTAATGTAAGTCTAGAAAATGATGTACTAGCTATACTAAAATGATGCCTGGAACCTTCCATTAAAGGAAGAGGAAGGAGCTAGAACCTCACTGTCCAGTGCAGTCGCCACTGGGTACACGGTGCTATTGAAATTTAAATGAACTAAACTGAACAAAGTTTAAAATTCAGTTGATTCGTTGCACTGTTCACATGCCATGGGCTCAGTAGCCCCAGGTCATCAATGTCTACTACAGTGGATCGAGAAAAGCGAACATTTTTGGAAGGTTTTACAGGGCCTAGCTGGTCCAGATGTCACCTTGCAATTCTCGACATCCATTCATCATGCCCATCAAAGGCCCTCAAGTCAGGATGGCCCTGCGGTTCCATAGTCTGCCCTCCAACAAGGCCCCACAATCTTATTTCCTGGGACAGATTAAGTGTCCTCAAAGTCCCTCTGAGCTTAGTGGTGTGCTATTTCACAGGACCTTCTGAAGCTTTCTGCTTTGCCTCCCAACCTGTCAAAAGAATTTTGAGCTGCAAAAAAAAGAAAAGAAAAAAGGTTTATTCTGCTAGCTAAGCACTTTAGCAGCCGCTTAAGATTTACTTTATTATACCTTCTTCACAAAACTGGACAGATTTTTGTAAGGCAGAATTTCCTTGCTTGTGAGAACTCTTTCTTGGCTCTTATTTTTCAATGAAATTTTATTATTTATGTGCCTCTACTTTTTTGTGTGCATTTCTGAACCTCTGTTCTTGTGACATTGTGACATTTGAGGGAAGGGCTGTTTTCCAAGGCTCTGCTTTCTCGTCTTCTCTAAAGTCCATTGAAACCGACACATAAATGTAGACTTTGATTTGATTTGGGTGAAAGTTTACAGAGCACATGGGTGTTTGTTTTTCTCTTCGTTGATTCATATTCTGTCTGGTGGTAGTGATGACAATCCCTGCATGTAGGAGACTGAGCTCTGCACACTTCCTCCTGGTCTTGACCGCATCTCTTCTACTACTTTCCGACTCCGTCTTGCCTTCTAAGGTTTAATCCAAAGCAAATGTTGGGAATTTGTATATCCTCTGGTTGGTTATTCTGCAGCACTTGTAACTCCCTGGTGCCATTGTTCACCTTTGAAATTGTTTAGCAGAAAGGTGGGGAGGGCGTGGCTTGAAGGGTGTCTATGGACCATAGACTCAAGGATTCCATAAGCCTGGCTTTTTATCATTTTGAGTTTTGTTCCAAATTTTTCTCCCACTCTATCCAAGACCTCCTCTTGTGATCCCTTTCCGAGCTGTCCATAGTGGTGGTCAGCAGCATCGAGTTCTTTTCTAAGTTTCACTTGAAATTATAGAATTCCGTGAAATTGTCATAGAGAAATTCAGTCGTTTATTAACCTTTAGAAATCTTTAACTCGATATGAGGGGGTTTCAAAAAGTTCGTGGAAAATGGAATCAAAAGATAATAAAAAGTGCCCATGACTTCTCTGACACCTCTTATATTTCTAGAGATAGCTCTGAAGACCAGCCAATGCAACTAGCGTAGCTGCTCATGCGTGTGCAGGTTCCGCTCTAAGTCTTAGCAGAAGACCTTTTCCTGGGGAGTTCGATCGTCCACGTGCCGTGCTGTCTGGACTTTTCTTTTTCGCAGAGGAAGCCGCTCACCTTTGACAGCTCCACTCGAGTGTTTCATGCGTATAGTCTGCAGTGCAAGTATAAACCATCGATTGTTATTCTTAAAATAACAACTCTTTGGGCATTTTCGTTGGCATATTTTTGTTGTTTATTTCATACAAAGACTTGAGTATGCCTTGTGTGTTTCAGTAGCGCTTACAATAATGTTTCTCATCAGAGCGAATTGAAAATTAAAATATGTAACAGAAAAATAGATATTTCGCTACAAGGTTGAGAGTATGGATAATAATCTTATCATGTTCACAAAAGCAAAGTAGACATTTGTATTTGGGGTTATTAATATTTATTAAGCATTGCCACTGTCGAGTTATTTTTTAGAATAAAGATCTCCCAAAGGGGGAACGATCACAAGGCTCTACATATAACTCCCTCCCTGGGGGACAGACAACAGAAAAGTGAGTGGAGGGAGACATCGGACAGTGTAAGATATGACAAAATAATAATAATTTATAAATTATCAAGGGTTCATGAGCGAGGGGGGAATAGGGAGGGAGGGGGGAAATGAGCAACTGATATTAGGGGCTAGAGCGGGAAGCAAATGTTTTGAGAATGATGATGGCAACAAATGTACAAATGTATTTGACACAATGGATGGATGTATGGATTGTGATAAGAGTTGTACGAGCACCCAGTAAAATGATTTAAAAAGCAAAACAAAAAAGATCTCCCAGACAAGGAGATGATTTCAGGTACCCACCAGATCTGTCTGCATGATAACTACCCATAGGAACTGAGACTTTTCCACAATGGATGACTATTCTTAAACTGCTTCTAAGACATGGCTTTTACTCAGAGGAATCATTATCCCTGGAGAAAACAACTTGGTATCATTATCCCAGGAGAAAACTTAACTTGGTATCATTATCCCAGGATTGCCCCCAATTTTTCTCAAACTGTTATTTTCTAAGAATGCACAAAGTCCTCCTCTCCCCTCCCCGCCAGGGAGACAAACAAGAGAAACTTGGGTAAAGGGAGACAGAAGGTGATGTAAGATATGAAAATAATAGTAATTTATAATTTATCAAGGGATCACGAGAGTGGGGGTGAGAGGGAAGGAAAAAGAGGCGCTGATACCAAGGGCTCAAGCAGAAAGAAAATGTTTTGAAAATGATGATGACAGCATATGTACAAATGTGCTTGACACAATTGATGTAAGGATTGTTATAAGAGCTGTAAGAGCCCCCAATAAAATGATCTTTTTTAAAAAATGATTTATATAAAAAAAGAAAAGAATGTGCAGTCACATTGTATTTTAAAACTTCATCACTTGGAGTGAAAACTGTACTTATGTTTAACTAAAGCTCTATACTAGGTCTTAGTTAGCTAGTTGCTACCATAGCAGAAATGACACTGGTAAGAGGGTAGCTTGAACAAACAGGCATTTACTCACCGTTCAGGATGCTGTGTATGTCTGAACGTAGAGCCCCAGCTCTAGGGGACACCTTCCCTCTCTCTCCCTCTCTCTCTATCTCTGTCCTTAGCTCTCCAGCGTCTGCTTCCTTGTTTCTTGGCACTGTCCACTGGCGTGTCATCTACCTGAGTCCATATCTCTTCTGCTCAGTTGTTTAATCTCTTTTATATCTCAGAAGCGATTAACTCAAGAAACACACTACACTGGTCCTGTCTCCTTAACAAAGACAACCCATTTCCAAATGGCTTATCCCCACAAGGATAGACGTATAGACGTACAACATGGATGTGGAGGTCTGTGTATAACATCTTATGAATGATTCCATTCAGAAAATGTTGTGTTTCCTTTCAACCACTCACAGACATTAGTTTCTAAATGGAATGATGAAATTCCATTTTTAAATGGAATTTAAT